AGATTATGCTGTATTTTTTAAATTTTTAAATATTTGTTTATTTAATTCCATTTGTTATTATTATTATTTTTTTTAATTTGACCAGAGAAAAAGGGAAAGCAAGAAAGCAAGCTGCTAGGTCTAAAATTCAAACCACAGTCGGCCATGTGGGAATCCTATGCTTTTAATCACCACACCACAAGATTATGACTGGCCCCAAAATTATGCTGTATTTTTAAGTGCTGAATAGAGGGGGAAAAGAGGGAGGAGGGGACTTGTCAATTGTTTGGATATTCTAAAACAAACTAGGAAAGTAGAATTTTGAAGAAAATGGTTACTAGTGATAAAACATACTAGTTACAAGACTTAGAAATTAAGTACCAAAGTCCAGAGTGTGTGTGTGTGTGTAAAACTTTAACCATTTGGAGACCTTAAAAAAGCAAAAATTGACTTGACTGACATATAATGCATGTATGCTTTGAAAAGCCATATTGTATATGGTAAAGATGTACATTGAGTATAAGTGAAATAAAGTGAACTAACAAGCAAGAACTTCAATTTACTATTGAAGACAATGTTTTTAATCCTTCTACTGCATTTCTTTATAATTTCTGACAGGGTTGGCCACTTTTTCGTTCTTGAAACTCTCCATGTGCATGCTGAAACTTGGGTTCTGGTCCCCATCCTAATTTTCTGCCTGTTCAGTTTCAGTTTCCTTTCCTACTTCTTCTTGGTACTTTTAAAGAATTTAATCTTCTATCGGTTTTTCTTCTCATTCTTTGAAATCTGTTCTGTTCATTTAACTTTATCCCTAATGATTCCTAGAACTGTCCAGTCTAAACCCTAGTTCTCTCATTCCTTCAAGAAATATTTATTACTCTGTGTCAGTAGGTGTAGAGAGTCAGTACTCCGGCAGAGCTTATACTCCGGAGATACTGGAGAAGGAAACAAGCCAGGACAGTATTTAAGTTCTATGAAAGTGAAGTATAAGGTCCTGTAAAAACACATACAAAGCCCTTACCTTGCCTTCCCTTTGTGTTGGGACATTCAGGAAGTAGAGAGGAGCCACATAGAGATGGCAGCAAGTGGCCAGTGTGATTAAGAGGTTGGACATATCAAGCAAATAAATGCACTGATTGAATAAATAAGTAAATATACTAAGGATCATGAGAGCCAGGTTTCTCATTGTTGAAAGAAATATTTACAAGCCTAGAAAGGAAGATGGCTAGAAATAACCCTGAGCTGTCAGGTTGGAGTTGGAGGTGCTAAATTGGTGCTAGAGAGTATATATGCCATACATGCACAAACACATATAGAATTAGTCATCGATTGTGTGTCTGTGAGCATTAGTCCATTATTGCATTGCATACAGAAATACCTGAGACTAGGTGGTCTATAAAGAAATAGAGATTTATTGACCCACAGTTCTGGCAGCTACAAAGTCCAAAGGCTGGCTTGATGGAAGCATGGAAGATGGCGGGTACGTGCAGAAAGAGAGCAAACTGCGGGCTGCTCAGTTTTAGAACAACCAGCTCTCGCAAGAACTAACTCCATCTCATTAGCGTTAGAACTCACTGGGTCTCAGGACCAGCAGTTAGTATAATGGCTATGCCACTGGACTCCCATGTTGTCGACCACGGTTCGAGTCCCAGACCCGGTGGCTTAAAACTCACACCGGGTGCGTGTGAGTGCGTGCCCAAGATCCCGAGAGGAGAATGGAGGAGGAGAAGGGATTGCAGTGTGGCCATCCCCCCGGGGGGGGGTTGATTTCTCTCTGTCTGTCTCTGTCTGGTGAGCGCACGTGCCCTATAGTGAAAACCTCTCCAAAAAAAAAAAAAAAAACCTCACTGGAGACAGCATTAATTTATTCATGATGGTGGTGCCTCCATGATCCAGTCACCACCTACTAGGCAACATCACCTCCCAACAAATTCAGAAACATGACACTTTGGGAACAAGCCATTATCTAGACCTTTAGCAGTGTATGTTCATAGGTTCACGTATACATATATAGATTTTTCAAGCTCAGTGCTTACCGATAGGACCTTAAAGTAATGCAGCCAACTAATAACACTCTGAGAACCCAGGTCTTGATGTGTAAATGCGGTCCCCCACAAAAGGAATCGGGGCCCTTTGGAGAAAGGACTGATTCCAAGGCTTGGCCATAAAAGTAAGAGATGATCCTGGAACATCTTATGTCAAAAAGTAAGTAATGCTTCAGACATGATAAGGATATGTCGAAAAGACACAAGAGAAACTAGAAAGCCCCCCCCCCAGCCAAATCTGGGATAATTTGAATATTGAAATAAGTGATAGTAGTTAAGTTACAACCCATGGACTAAAATAGGAATTCATAAGTAAGTAAATTTGTTAATTAATTTTAAAAAACTCCTTCATAAAGTGAAGTGCCAACTAATAAACAGAAAGAAAGATGAATGTGGAAGATCTCCACTGGGCCACCATTGCAGTAACTGGGAGTTGTTAGTGGAGTCTGGGGCTGGTGACTTGACAAAGGATGAGGGATGGGGTACTATCGATCAAAGAATTGTTATACTACAAAAACGTGTAAATCACAAAGGGAACAACGGTAACTTTATGATGTAGAGACTGACAGATACCGTCACTGAGATGGAAGAGCATAGCATCAGTTCAGTGGAATGCCTGGTGAGAAAATATGATTGGAGTCTAGGTCATGAAGAAATGTCAGAGAGTCAGCTTACAGAACCTAAGGCCTGTTCTTTTTATAACTACTGAGGGCATAATAGATAGAGATGGACAAAGATTAGAATAATAGACATTGTTCTTTTTTTACAAAAGCATGAAGTGACATGACAACTAAATGCAGCCTGTGTTCCACCATGTCCTAGTACCAAAAAGACCAAAAAAAAAAAAAAAAGAAAACCTCATTATCAAGACAAACAGTAAGATATAAAATGAAATCTGGGCTTGGATGATAGTATCGTTATCAGTGTTGATTTCTTAACTTAAAAGGTTGTGTGGTGATCATGTTGGAGAATATTCTTGCTTTGGAAGCTGTACTTTGCAGTATTTAGAGGTGATGAGATATCTGTCTCTGCCTTGTTTTCACAAAGTTCTGAAAAAGGGACCAGCAATTGGCATAATGGCTATGTCACTGGACTCCAAGTAGTTGACCATGGTTCAAATCCTGGACCTGGTGGCTTAAACTCACCGGGCACATGTGCGTGCGTGCCCAAGATCCTAAGAGGAGAATGGAGGAGAAGGGATTGCGACATGGCCATCCCCCCTGGGGGGGGGGGCGATTTCTCGCTTTCTGTCTCTCTGTCTTTCTGGTGAGTGCACATGCCCTATAGCAAAAACCTCTCAAAAAAAAAAAAAAAGTTCTTCTGAAAAAGATTTATGGGAATAGGTATATAAATACATAGAATGGCTGATAGGGAAAATGTGGTGAAATGTTAGCTGTTAAATATGTGTCAAGTATACAGAAATCCTTTGTATGGTTTGTGCAGTTTTTGCCTAAGTTCAAATTATTAAAATTTATATATAATCAAATAGAAGGAAAACGTAACCCAGACTGTGGCTGTAGGGGAAGATTTTATTAGGAAGTGAACCCTAAACTGAGCTTTAAAATATGTCATCAGTAGCTACTTACTGTCTTCCTCCTCTATGAAAGGAGAGGGGCAGAGAGAGATAGAGATTAAGGGAAAGTGAGAAATCACAACCCCCCTTCTCCCACCCCAGGAGGCATGCTGCAATCCCTTCTCCTCCACTTTTTCCTCCACTTTTACCTCAGGATTTTGGGCACACACACATATGCACTGGGTATGTTTTTGAAGCCGCCAGGTCAGGATTCAAATCACAGAATCAGCCATGCAGGATCTAGCACCTTAACCACCATGCCGCCTTCTGGCCCCTACCTTATATCCCTATTTTGTATTGTTTTTCATGGTTGGCATTTTAGCTATTATTGACTGAATGCATAGATAGAAAAAATGTGAAAGATATTTGGTATGGCTGAAAGTTAGAATGTGAGCATGGCAGTGGCAAGGGGTTAGGATGCAGAGGGAAGCAGGAAACTAGTAAGGACTCAATAAATATGTATTGGGTGCTTATAGTAAAACACATTAGAGAAATATAATAACGACTGGTGAAATGGCAGCTGTCGTCTCTATCTCATACGGTAACAACTGAGAAAACAGTTCTGATCTATATAGATATATAAATTCTGTAAAATTAAGTTTCTTGGGAAATATTTGAATATTTTCACTAGTTAGGTATCATTTTCCTATTTTAAGTCACATTGGTGAATTTTTATAGGAATTCTCCTGAATTGTCAGAATTTTATATGTGTGTGTATATATTGAATGTATGTACTACTGGGACCAACAGATCTAAATCATGTATAGCTTAATGCAGCTCTAAGTACTGCTCAGAAAACTATTAGAAATTTGTGACTCATTACCTATCTCAGCACAAGATAAATCCTGTCAGTGTTATATCCCAGTATAAAATTCTGTTATTATCAATCTTTTTCAGTTCTAGTTTCCTTTTCCATGTAACCACATTGTTTGAACTTAACCAAAGTATCTAAATAGTTCATGGGGGAAAAATGTGACTACTAAAAATTACTCATTACCCCTCTGCATTTGCTGTTACTGTAATCCCAAATGAGTAAAATATTCTGTAGGAGTAGCTTATTTTAAGAAGCAAAATTAGTTTTTTCAATACCCTTAGTAGATTAGTTTTTAGAAAAAGCATTATTCCTCTCAGAAGGAAATAGGACAGCTTTTGCAAACACTTTTATTCCCCTAGAATATCTATTTTGTTTTTACAAAACTGGGCCAAGTAGAATTATTTTAGAATTAAGAACACATACTAGGTGTACAGATCTGTCATGTTTATAAATTATGTGAAATACAAGCTATCCTGAAAAATACTCAAAGGCATTCCGTAATTATGAGTCTTTGGAAGGTAATTATTAAAGTGCTTATTTTATAAATATTTACAGCATTGCTCTTTATTTTGTTTTACTAAATTGCTAGGCACTTGGAGGTGTCCCAGGAAGTCAGCCATTACTCCCCAGTGGAATGGACCCAACTCGACAACAAGGTGACTAAAATGAAATTGATATGCAGAACCACTGAGGAAATCCTTTTTTTTTTTTTAAGGAAAATTTTCTTTGTATAAATCTTCCATAATTATATCAGTTGCATTTCTGCAGGTAACATGGCCAAATAATTTTAGCTACCTATTAATTTTTGCATGATAATGAAGGTGATGATAACACAAGAAACAGAATACATAAATATGCCAGAATTCAAATTTTAACTAATAACTTCTCAAACCTTTTATGTAACTTTGAATAAGTAAGAAGCTAAGTGATTGTATCACTTATGATTCTTCCGTCTTTTGAATAGAGGGATTAGTCCACCCAAAAAATGAGCAGAAGGAAAGAGAGTACTAAGCAATAGGTGACTTGACTAGCTTAGCAATCCCAGTAATCAGGTCATTCTGTAGAGATACTTAGGTACCATAGATATGTAACTCTGTTGTACTGTTTCAAGGAAAGAGAGGCAATTCAACACCAAGTAGGAGGAAAACTTCAGCCCACGTTAATGGGGTATGTGAGTTGCTAGTCGTAAGAGGTGCAAAAGCAGCTAAGGAAGCTAAAATAAAATGGTGTCAGTCATGTGGACGCTTGGTCGATACTACATTGTAACACCCAAAGGGAGGAGGATCCTCGTCTCTGACATGGCGCTCAGACTTAGTACATTGCTAACATCTTCATATTCTTGTTTTAGGACATCCAAATATGGGTGGGCCAATGCAGAGAATGACTCCTCCAAGAGGAATGGTGCCCTTAGGACCTCAGGTAAGTAATGAGAGCAGAAAGCTGGATGCTGGACTTTCACCTTCACCTTACATAAACAAACCGTCTTATTTGAGGACTTTCAATGTATGCACAAAGTCTTGATGTAACATAATTGTTAGGCTTGAGGATATAATATTTGTGACATGTCAAAATTGATGCAATAGCAAAACATATTTTATCATATATGCCTTTATTTAAATAAATATATTGTATAGAAATATATTTTATTAATTATTATTAAAAAAAAACTATTTCCCTTTTGTTAGTCAAGGAAAATAAATAAAACCCAGTTGATAGAAAATGTTAAATAGAATAAACCTAAAATATATTTCTATAATACCATTGACAATTTATTTTATACAACCATATTTCTTTACAAAATAGGAAAACAATAGAAAATGATTGAGAAATAAACATTAAAATGGTTCTTACTGAACAAGCATAGTACTATCATTATACATCAAACATTAGTCGACTTCTCTACCAAAATGTGTGAGATGTATGCACTGAGTTTAACCTGTCCTATCTCTTGGTGACATTTAAGCATGCTGGTCTAGACTATGATTTATTTTAGTTGAAACAACCTTTTGTCTTTCTTAGGAAAATTACTTGGAGTAGAAATTAATCTTACCAAATTCCAGAATTTTTCATTTCTGCCTCAGAAGTTAGCCTATCATAAAAGCTGGTTAAAAGATGGAATGTAGTATTTTTCCCTTCCAACAACAGCATTATAATGGTTTTAGGAACTTGTTTCACGTATCTTTGTTTAAAAATTTTTCTATAGGGCATGTGCACATGCTGGAAAGAGACAGAGAGAGGTGAGGAAGCACCCCCCAGGGGAGAGGGCCAAGGCACAGTCACTTCTCCATTCTCCTTTCAGGATTTTGGGCACGCAAGCACACATGTCCAGCATGTTTTTCAAGCTGCTGGGCCCAGGACAAAATACACAGTCGGCCATACGAGATCCAGCCACCTTAACTACCACACTACCAGCTGGTCCTTGCATATTTATTTTTAAAAAATTAAATTGGTGTTTGTTATGCCTCCAGAAAATTTAAAGAATTAAGAGCCCAACACCCCAGGAAGGATGACCACACCACAATCCCTTCTCCTCTCCAGATTTTGGGCACACATACTACCTTGGCATGATTTTCAAGCTTCCACATCTGGGGCTTGAACCATGGGGAGTCCAGCACCTTAACCACCACACCACCTGCTGGCCCTAGACCTAGGAATTTTTAGCCAACACAATAGTAAGAAGAAGAAGAAGAAGAAGAAGAAGAAGTATTAACTATATTGAAACATGAAGCTCAAATAACCAGATTTTTTTCAGAAATGTCGTATTAGATGAAAAACTTAGTATGTAAAAATATATGGCAGCTCCAAAGCCAGAAGAAACCAATTTCTTTTATTTAGTCTCAGTTCTTTACTATGTCTTTTATAAGAAACTTATAACAAAAGACATAGTAAAGAGTTTTCTTATAAAACTCATATTTAGACATGTACATTATTTCTCCCTATTTCTAATCAGAGGATTTGTGTTAATTGCTATCATCAACATATTAATAGTAGTTAGAATTTCTAATATTCCTAATAGATTTATTTTAAATGTACATTAAAATGTTATGTCTATAATTTATCATTCTTCATTCAGTTCAATTATTTTTCAACTAGCTGCTTTTAAGCTTTTGTCATTTCCAAATTATTTTCAGTATTAGTTTTTAAAACTAAAAACTGGTCTGGCTTGCATGGTAGGGCATGCTTATAATCCCAGCTTCTGGAGAGCTGAGGTCCAAGATAGTGAGTTCAAGGCTAGCCTGAGCAACATAGGAGGACACTGTCTCTTAGAAAATAAATAAATTATAAAAAGAAAAAAAAAAAAAAAGCTGTCCTGGCTTAAAAAGCAGTTAAAAGTCTGTGTTGCAGTATTTGAAAAAGTACACCAATGCTTCTCTAGCCTATACAGACATTTAGATCTCATTTGAAAATGCAGAATTAAAAGCATACTGGTCTTCATGTTTTATATTATAGCTGTATGTTTACATGTTTTATATTGTAAGTAAATTACAAGAGAAAATAAGAAAACTTCTGTTTTTGGTGAGTAATCTCTTACTGATGAGTTTTAGTAATAACTAAATTTATTATGTAAGCATGAATTCTTGCTTTGCATTTTAAAAATCAAAATGGAATTTATTTCTTCCATTTGGATTAGCAATGTCACTTCTGTTTATTTCTATGTAGAATGAGGGACATAAAATATTTTGAGATGAGTTTACCTCAGAAACCAGAAATAGCTACAGTAACTTTATAAAATATAGTATACAAAGTAAAAGAGGTTAAAGGAAATTATGCATTTAAATGAAAATAAGAGTCATGTGCATGTGAATTGCAGAACAGGACAAAAAAGGGTAAAATCATTTGGAGTGGGGGAGGGACACTTGTATATTTACTTTATAACTCCTGATGTATAAAACATATGCTTTATAGATTGTGAAATTTATAATAAACTTTAGCTGTGTTTCTTAGACAACCGAAAAACAATTCTCATAACAGACATTCAATTATATAAATGCCACCCAAGAGCAGAATTTATCTGCCTTTTTTAGTTGCACTTTAGAAGCAGGGTCCAGAATGTCATCTCTAGCATTAGACACCAACAGCATACACATCTCTTTTTGTATCAAAGATATTACTTCCATCGTTTTTTTTAATTTAATATCAATACAGTAAAGGGAACAGTATTCATCTATTAGAACAATTGAATCCTAAAACAGATACATATAATAATTCTTGAATAATGCTGATTTAGGCAAAGTGCACATGTAGAACATAATAAATAAGTACAAGTAGGAACATATGATTTCCTAATCAGGTGCTTGGAATGGAGGAATGGTTTATGAAAATGTGTTGGGCTCTCATGTAAAGAGAGAGTAAACTGATTTTGTCTTTTCAAATCTGAGAAGGGTAGTAAAATTCATTTCAGTACAGGGAGAAATTTCCTACAAATTAAAACTGCCCAGTGCGGAATGACTTCTTAGAAACTTTCCAAGCAGAATCTGAATAGCCATTCTGTCAGGAACATTGCATTGGGAAAAAGATTAGACAGATGGAACTGTATGGTTGCCGTCGGCTGTAAAATCCAGAGTCTAAATTAGCTCTTCGCATTCCGCCTTTGTTGATACCACTTGGAAAGCCAGTTGTTATTCTTTCTTATCATCTTGATGTCTTTTGCTTTAGATTATTCACAAAATGAAAACATGTTGTAAATCGAACAAGTACATATTAAATAATTTCTCACTTATTTCCTGTAACAACTCAGTTTCATTAGCCCAGCATTTATTGAAAAGCCTACTATGTGCCAGACTGGGCTATACCAAGACAAATAACATAATCTGCCTTTAAGATGCTTACTATTTAGCAGGAGATGTAGATACATAAAGGAAAATAAATGTGTAATAATAGAAAAGGTCTAGAAAAGAGATAACATACTCTGTGTAAATATTCAGGGAGTCATTACGTAAACAAGTCATTCTGTTAGGGTTGAGAGCTCCTGGGAAACTATTGAAAAGAGGACTAATTTAAGTTGGTCCCTTATTAATAGTGGTAAGAAAAAGCACCAGATATAATGCTTTTAATTTAATAAGCATTATGATGAGTGCTTTATATTTCATTTTATCCTCCAACAAGTCTGTTAGAGAGAGAGTATTATCACCAATAAGGAAATTAAGTTTGGGAGATCATAGGAAACATCATTGCCCCAAATCATCATATAGTAAGGGGGCAGAGGAAATGGGACAGGGGCAACAGAGATTCAGAAGAATGTCTGTGTCCAAAGCTCTAAGGACAATCGATGTTTTGTTTGATAAAATAAAGCCCAGATGAGAAGAGACTTTCTGAAGCATTTCTAGTGTATTTTACAATATGTCTGACTTTTATCTCATTAGAGTAAAAAACAATGAGAATAGCAAAATCATTTCATTTATCAACTACAACTTACTTTGTTAATTTAAGAGACCACCTTTTCTCATTTATTTTTTGTCACCTTAGTACCCACTACTCAAAAGGCCAAGGAAGATGAGAATAAAAATGTATAATGTTTCTGAACTTCAAGAAGTCTACTAGGCTAGAGAATATGTAAGGGAGATAGGGAAAAGCATGAGAATTGTAGGAAATGAGGAGAGGAAAGTTAGGGTGGGCTGAGCTGGTAATAAATCTCATAGAACCATACTCAAGAGCTTAGACTGCCTCAGTAGGCGGTGGGGCCATCACAGCTTTTAAGTGACATGAAAAGGTCTAAGTGTGAGAAGGACAGCTCCTGATGCGATATGGAGAATAGATTGAGAGGGGAAAGGGACTACGTCAGAGAGACCACTGAAGACAGAGCAGGAATCTCAGTGAATGACAAAGATTAGTCATAGGATGAAGGACAATGTATTTGTTTCAAGAGCTGTTTCACAGGTAGAATTAATAGATGCTGGTAATTGACTGAATTTGGGAATTGAAGTAAGAGGAAGAAACATTATGAAGCCCCCAAGAAATTCTTAGCTCTGACTCTTACACAGAAGATGACACCACAGAACTGACCTAGCAAGATAGTATGAAAAGCTCAGTAGTGTTGAGTTTGCTTTTATGTATGTTGAGCACGAGGTGGTATCCACATGAAAACAACCCCTTTGAAGTTCAACATGTGTGTGATTGGGAGCTTCAGCCATGTCTGATTCCTAACATATCAAGAGTTGTTAAAAGAATGGAAGCACATAAGATTATGCATGAGTATATATTGAGAAGAGTGGTATAGCTAGGATTTAGAGGAAAATAACTTCTTAAAAAATTATTTGTTTCTTTTATTTATTATTTTCATTTGCTTTAGGGCATGTGTGCTCATCAGAGAGAGAGGAGAGAGAGAGAGAGAGATAGTGAGAAAGCAAACAACGAGGTCTGGGATTCAAAATGTGGTCAGCCATGTGGAGTGAGTCCAGTGCCTTAACCACCACACTACCTACTGGCTCCAGGAAAACAACATTTAAAGAGTTAGCAAAGTAAAAGGCACCAGCGAAAGAAATAGAAAAAGAGTACTCAGAAAAGCTGGAGCAAGGATGGTGTTAGAAAACCCTGCACGGGGCCTGGTAATTAAGGTGGATGGATCCCACACGGTCAGCTGTGTGGTTGGAGTCCTGGACCTGGCGGCTTGAAAAGCACACCAGGTGCATGTGCATGCATGCCCAAATCCCAAAAGAAATAGAGATGGGATCGTGGTATGACCAACCCCCTGTGGGAGGGTGGTTTCTCACTTTCACTCTTTGTCCCTCTGGTGAGTGCATTTACCCTCTAGCAAATTTTTAAAAAGAAAAGGGAAATGAAAACCTAGCATGAAAATCTGTTGATAGTGTCAGTATATTAACATGGTCATGGTAAAATTAACCTTATGGCAATTAAATTATGATAGTATGATATATATATTAAAATGTTTTTGTCCTTTGAATGCACATATATTAACAGAAATGTATAGAATCACATCATTCATGCATATAAGAATATACTTTAGTTTCATATATTTTTGTGTATTGATTTATTATTTTGTGAACACGAGTTTACATTCAGTTTTCTTGTGTTAGATTCACCTGTTTTTGTTTTCGTTTTCAGATTTTAAGTAATTGTCCTAGGTCTGATGATTACAAATACGTTGAAAAAATATTTTCTTAAAAAACGTAATTATGGAATTATGAAATATTTTATTTTTAAAAGTTTACTATTGTACACTTATGAGGAAATTAATAAAGATGTATTTAATATTGCAATTGCAGCCACACCTTAATAATTCAATATTCCCAGTGAGCTTACATATTCACATAATGTTTAAAAAAAAACCAAAGTAATTGTTAAAAGAAGCTAAAGTACAAGAGTGGACCCTTCAGAGAATGAATTACACAGGCCTTCTCCAATCTGGAGTTGTGTAGGG